ATATAGTAACAGGAACATTATTCGATGATCAACTTTGATAGACTTAACTCTTCAATTCCAAAAGACTCATGATGGAAAATGCTATCCACATCCAGAGAAAGAACTATGGAGTTTGAATGAAGAGGGAGGCATGCTATTTTCTCTTTTTTCCCCTTTCTTGTGGTTTTTCTCTTGTGTTCTGATTCTTCTTTCATAATGTGACTAATGTGGAAATATGTTTAATGTGATTGTACATGTACAGCCCACATCAGATTGCATGCTGTGCTGGGGAGGGGGCAGAGGAGGGAGGGGGAAAATTTAGAACTCAAAATCTTGTAAAAGTGAGTGCTGAAAACTAAAAATAATGATGATAATAATAATAACAAAAACTATCTTGCCTATCTGTGCTTCCCTCTGACCTTCTTTGTGTTCCCTTTTGTGTATTTTTAAAACCAGTTTCCCTTCAGAAAACAACAACCTTGCAATAAATAAACATAGTTAAACAAAATTAATCCATGCTGTATCCATGCCACATTGAGTCTTTCACCTCTCTATCAGGAGGTAGGGAACATGTTTCATCCTATTTCCTTTGGAGATGAGGTTGGCCATTGCATTGGTCAGAGTTCTTGAATCTTTCAAAGTTGTTTTTCTTTACAATGTTATTGTCCTTGCTTTAGTTCTATTTTAACTTCTTACAGCCAATAATATTCTATTACATTCCTATACCACAGTGTGATTAGTTATTCCCCAAATGTCTAAAAGGCAATGTATGTAACCTCCTGAAATTCTAATTTTTCCCTTCTCTTTTCCACCTCTGCCATCACCCTTCCCTAAACAAAGGATGTTTGTTTTGTTGTGCTGTTCCCTTTTCTGTATCATCTTCCCCCTTTACCCCATCCTGCCTGTCACCAGCTGGTCTCCTTGTTGAGTTTGAGGCATTTCTCCACCAAATTGTGTGTGTGTGTGCGTGTGTGTTTAACTCTCCTTTGCCCATTTCAGAAAGAGTGCATTTCCTCTGATGCCCATTCCACCTATTTCTTCCTCCATTTTGTATTTTCTTCTTCCTAGTGCACCTACGAGAATAAGCAAGGTCCACCCCCATCTTCCTCCTTTCTACACCATGTATTCCTTTTACCTTCCCTTTTCTTTAACGCTCTTCAGACCCTAGGAAAAGAAGAACCAATCTGCTCCTAAAACCTCTGTTTTTCTTATTTTATTCCTGCAATATCTTTTGAAGAGGTTAAAGTTTTGAAGGGGCACTGGTTTCTTTCCCCCTATTAGAGCCTTATCATTATATCATCATAAGCCCCTTCCAGTTGCTCAGATAGATTTGCTTTTCTGGGTTTCTCTCGATTACCGTGTTTTCATTTCGAAGTGTCTATTTAGCTCTGGTCTTTTCATCAGAAATAGTTGAAAGCGTTCTGTTCCATCAAAGGGCCATTATTTCCCCTTATACACTCAACTTTGCGAGGTAAATTATTCTAGGTTGTAAGCCTATCTCTTTTGCCTTTTGGAATACTGTCTCTGTACCCTCCTTTCTCTCTCTCATCATCCTAAAACAGGCGCTCATTACCAGTCTCCTGGACTATTACAATATCTTCACAATAGGTCTCCTCTTTCCAACCTGACCTTGTGCATAAGTTTGGATCCATCACTATTCTGCTCAAAACTCTGTACAATTCAATAAATATTTATTAACCACCTATTAGATACTGGGTATTCTGTCGGAGGCTAGGCATACAAACACAGCAATGAAACAGATTCAGTCCTCAAGGTGATTCTTTGATCTCAGACACTTAGCTGTCTGACCTTGGACAGATCACTTAAATGTCTCTGGGTCTCAGTTTTCTTATTTGTAAAATGAGGGTGTTTGACTCTATGATCTCTGTGGTCCATTTTCACTCTAAGTCTATAATCCTATGAGGTTACATGGGGGGGGGTGGAACTCTTGATTAAATTTTGATTAAATTTTAAACTCTTCATTTCGGCATTCTTTCTCTACACAATCTGATGCCACTTTACTTTTTCATCTTCAATCTCATTTTGATCTTCAACAGAGACCACTCATGGAATTATAGATTTAGAGTTGTAAGAATTTTTAGAGGCAGTGGAGTCCACCCATCTCATTTTACAGCTGAGGAAACGGAGGCTGAGAGAGGTTGACTTGCCCCAGAGTCACAAGCTACTACGTGCACTCGGGTCTTCCTGTCTCCAAACCTGGCATTCTACCAACTGTGCCACCTAGCTGTTCCCCATATTCCACACTTTCCATCTTGCCTCCTCCATATTTTGTTGATATAGTTTCCTATTCCTGGAATATTCTCTTCTCTCATTTACAATCTTTTTTTTTTATTGATACCTTTTGCTTTTTACATCATTTTCATTTCCAAATCTATCCCTTCTCCCTCCTCTATACCTGGAGCTATCTTTTGTAACAAAGATTTAAAGAAGAGATAAAACGTAGCTCAGCAAAACCAACTAGCACATGAATCCATTTGCCTGAGAAGTGTATGTAATATTCCACACCCATAGTCCCTTGCTTTTTCAAAGAAAAGGAGGTGCGTTTTCTCAGTTTTCCTACAGGGCCAGGCTTGGTCATTATGCTAACATAGCATCCAATATTTTGGTTTTATTGTTCTTTTAATTTATATTTTATAGTCATTCTTGTAATTAGTTTTCCTGCTTTTTCTAACTTCATTTGCATTGGCACTCTGAATTCTTCATATTTGTCCTTTGTTCTTGTGTTATAAAATTCCTCAAGTCATGTACTATAATTTGTTGATCTCTTCCCCAATTAGTGATCATCTACCTTTTTTTTTTTTTCCTGGTCTTTATTACCACCAAAAAATGCTGCTATCAATATTTTGGTGGATATTTCTTTCAGTTTTTGACTTCCTTGAAGTAAATGCCTAGCAGTGAGATCTTTGCTATTGTCAGAAGGCATGGTCGTTTTAGCTTAAAAAAAATCTAAATTACTTTCCATAATGGTTAGGAAAATTTGCAGCTCTACCAACACTGTATTAGTGTGTTCAAGCTTTCGGCATTCCCCTCCAGTACTATTTCCTTTTTTTTTTCATCTTTGCCAATTTTCTGCATGTGAGGCAAAACCTCAGGGTGTTTCAAATTGCATTTGGAGCAACTTAAATTGTTAAGATTTTGCAATTCTTTCTTTCTTCCTTCCTTCCTTCCTTCCTTCCTTCCTTCCTTCCTTCCTTCCTTCCTTCCTTCCTTCCTTCCTTCCTTCCTTCCTTCCTTCCTTCCTTCCTTCCTTCCTTCCTTCCTTCCTCTCTGTCTCTGCCTGTCTCTCTGTCTTTCTTTCTCTGTTAACTCATGTATATGGCAGCTAGATAGCTACTGGATAGAGCCTGGAGTCAGGAAGACTCATCTTCCTGAGTTCAAATCCAGCCTCAGACACTTACTAGCTGTGTGACCCTGGGCAAGTCACTTAACCCTGTTTACCTCAGTTTCCTCCTTTCCAAAATGAGCTGGAGAAGGAAATGGCAAAGCATTCCAGTATCTTTGCCAAGAAACCCGAAATGGAATCACAGAGTCAGACATGTCTCAAAAACTCAAAACTCAAAAACTCAAAAACGAAAGTTCATATACACTAAACATATCTTAAACAAGATAATCAGATATAATATTATATATGTATGTATATATATATATATATATATATATATATATATATATATTATATATACATACATATATCCCCAAACATCACTTTCTCTTCTTATCCTAGTTGTCTTGGTTTTGTTAACACAAAGCTTTCAATTTAATCTTATTAAAATGATCTATTTTATCTTTTGTGATTGCCTTTATCTCTGATTTGGTTTTATATACACTGCTCTAAGAGTACAAAACACAGGCATGTGTACAAATACAAGAGCATGAAACCTATAATCCCTACATGCTTATAAAATATGCAAGTTAAACACAAAACTTACACTTACGTATATATACCTACACAGTACATGCTTACATTGGTCATGCATACTAATCATACACAGTAGGTACTTCATATTTATTGACTGATGCACACCTGTACACACGTGCACATATGTGCATATTCACATGCATACATATAACATACAAATCAATCAGTGTATGTATAATAAATAAATCAATAAGAATTTAATAAATACTTGCCATGTGCCAGGCAGTACTGATACAAAGACAAAAACAAAAGTTCCTGGCCTCAAGGAGCTTACACTTTAATGACTGGGGCCTTGTAAACATACAGGTATACACAACAAGCATACAAAGCAGGCATCAAGTAATTTTAGGGGGGGAATAGTGGGGCAAGAGAAGACCTCCTGCAGAATTCGGCACACCCACTGCGTGTGGTGGGGGAAGGGGGAAACAGCCCAGGCAAAAGGGTGGAGACGGGAGATGGAGTTTCATGTAAGGGCAGCAGCATGCAGGCCAGTAAGGCAGGTGGGAAGTGGCTGGATTGTGAAGAGCTGTCAATGCTGAGCAGAAATGGACATGTGGCCGGGTCGAGGAGTATGGGGGCTTAGCTTGGGCGACCTGGAGATGCCCACAAACTAAAGAGGGCATTTTTGGCTGAAAGAGGCAGTCCGCAGCGTGTGGGGAGGATTGGAAGAGAGTGAAGGAGGAGGCAGGGACCACGCAAGGACGCCTCCCACAGTGTCTGGCCTCCCACGCGCAGAAGCCTAGAAGCTGCTCCTGCACCCAGGGCAATAGACACATAGTGTCTACAAATAGGCTCGGGCCTCTTAATAAGGTCAGCCATTGGTGGACCACGCCGCACGTGCTTCCCTGTTACACCAATCAGGGCGCCTGTCTCCGCCCCTCCCTTTCCCGCCCTGCAGTGTTTTGGCTCCTCGGGCACTCAAACGGGCAAGACGCCTCTGCGTCGGGAGGCAGAGCCAGGAGGCGGTTCGGCCAATCAGGCTCGAGGTTCCCGGGCTTTCGGCCCAAAGTCCCGACCCCATCGTGGCGGAAGTCCCTCCTCCCTCCCGAGGCACTTCCTGTTTGGTAACCAAGGGCGCCGAGAGGTTGCTAGGGCTGCCTGGCTGCCTGTGAGGAGCCGGCTCCGACTTCAGGGAGTTGAATCCGCTGGTTCAGGGTCTTGGCGCCAGCGCCGCCGCCGCCGCCAGCATGAGCAGGGACTTCCTGGCCGAGCTGCACTGGGAGGATGGCTTTGCCATCCCCGTGGCCGATGAGCGCAACAAGGAGCTGGAGGCTACGGTGAGCGGGACCTGGGGCGGGGTTCGGTGGGCAGACGGAAGCCGGTCCGGGTCGAGATGTCGGGGGTCGAGGGTCTGGCGTCAAACGATTGAGGCTCGGTGTCTGCGGTCTGGAGACTGAGGCTGGATTTGGGAATCCTAGGGCCAAGGGTCAGAGGGCCGAAGTCGGGGATCCTGGGACTGAGGGTCAGGAAGCTGTGGTCAGGAGTCCTGGGGCCAGGGGTAAGTGGCAGCGTCTTGGGTTGGGAAGATGAAGGTGCTGAGGTTGGGAGTACGGGGACCCAGCGTCCAAGGTCGGAGGTCTGGGACCCTGGAGGTCAGGGGTCAGGGTCAGGAGTCCAGAGGCCAGTGGTCCTAGGGTCAGGGTTATGGGGAATGGAGGTTGGAGGATCACGGAACTGGAGGGTCAAAGTGCCAAGTTTGGGGGTCTGAAGTCAAGGTCCTAGGATTAAGGTTTTAGATCTGGAATGTGGGTCAGAGAGCCAGGGTCCTCTGGGATGGGGATTGGGGGTCTAGGCTCAGTGAGATCTGGGGCTGAGGTTTTGGTTTGTTTGTTTGTTGTTGTTGTTGTTATGTTTTCTGTTTTTTTTTTCCTTGGGCTAGACAGTGGGGTTAAGTGACTTGCCCAGGGTCACACAGTCATTAAGTATTTTGTGTCTGAGGCCGTATTTGAATTCAGGACCTCCTGAATCCAGGGCCAGTGCTCTATCCACTGCGCCACCTAGCTGTGGGGCTGAGGTTTTGGGATGGGGGTCAAGGTTGGGAATCCTGGAGCCTGGGTTCAGATTCTTGGGTCAGGGGACCAAGGGAGGGGTTGGAGAAAGGGGCAGGGGAGGGTCTGGACAGCCCTGCCACATCAGTGAAGGAGCCAGGAGCTCAAGTGGCAGATATGTCCAGAATTCCTGCCCTTCTGTCCTGTGTCTCTTACCCTAAGTCTTCCTTCCTTCTCTGCCTGCTTTATTATAGCCCTTTAAATATTAAACCAACCAACTCCTAGGAATGAATCAGTTTGACATAGCTTGGTGATGGACTTGGGTTTAGGAAACCTTGGGTTCAAATCCTGCCCTAGGTAGTTCTGGGAGTGTGACCTTGGGAAAGTCACTTAATCTCTCTTTGCCTCAGTTTCCTGTAAAGTGGGGATAATAACACCTATCTCATAGAGTTGTGAGGATCAAGTCAAATTGAGGTAAGTTGTTAAGTACTTTGCAAACCATAAAGTGCCATATAAATGTTGGCACTTTGTATTGGTTATTTAGTGCCCACTAGATATTAGACACTGGGGACAGACAGAAATTAAACAATATTGCTCTAGATGAATATCCATTCTCCCTGGTGACAGCATGTGTGTGTGTGTGTGTGTGTGAGATATGAGCTGGACCTGGGATTTTATTGATAGAGAACTCTTTAGTGAGGAAATTCCCTTTATCAGAACAGGTTGGAACATTCTCCTCCACTTGGAGTCTTGCTTGTCCCTTCGAGAGATGGAAGTGTTTTTTTCAGGATCAGTCACAGGCTGTGCTTGAATCCACTGTATCCCATGCTGTCTCTTTGTAGTTCACTGGTATCCAACTCAATGACAGCTGCAAAACTCCCCAAGTCACCCTGAACCAGATTAAAATGTAATTGAGAAATGTTTAATGAAATAAATAAAAATGATTAAATATTAAAATGATTAAATGCTAACAGATAACATTATTTTTGTGGGGATCTATTTCTATTTCAGCCTGATACCACTGTGTCTAGTTCCTACAGACAAAAATAGATAAAAAGTAATTTTATAGGAGAAGGCCCTGGCAGTTGGAATTAGTCTGGGAGATCAGAGTTTGGGGAACAGGAGCAGCAGGGGGCAGAATCAGGAGCCAGGATAATTTGGTCTTGATGTTAGGATGTTGGGAAAGCCTCCTAAGTCTTAGGTCTATTCTAAATCAATAAAATTAACTTATTGTGAATAACTAGAAAGTTCTGTTTTTGAGTTTAAAAAAAATCAGTTCTAGAAAATTGAAGATGAGGGAGCCCTGATATGGAAGCCATTTGTGGGAAAAGTGATTGTCTAGTTTTACTTGAACAGGTTTGTTTAATGTGAGCAGACCCTGCTGAAGTAGCCAAAAATACTACCTATCTTAGACTGCATAAATACAAGGATGTCTTTCGGGCCAAGGAAAGGTTCACTGAGTATAATGTAATGTACTAGCTCTCCTCCCAAAGGACAATGTTCCCCTGCTGTCTCCTTGTCACGCCCCGAGTGTGGTCTCTAGAATCCCAGGCTTCCCTCAACACTCAGCTGAAGCACCACCTTCTACATGGGCCTAGCCTGTCCCTGCCCCCCTCTCACCAATCATCTTACGTTTAGTATTTCTTTTGGACCTCTTTTCTACATGCTTATGTATACACGTATGCAGGAACTATGTCATTTCTGTCTTTGCATCCCCAGAGGGGACAAATAAAAGGGTCACATCATAGGTGCTTATTGATTGATGAGTGTTCAATTCTGGGTCCCAAATCCAGAGAAGCGTATTAACTAAAGCGTGTCCTGAGACAGTATAGGGGACCAAAGTGAAGAAGGGTCTAGAAACTGGAGGAAGAAGAAAAGGTGAAAGAACTCTAGGCATTCACAATTTTTAAACTGATGTCAATGTTTTTACACAGCCTTCATTTCCAAATATATCCCCATCCCCTGCCTTCCTCATTCAGCCATCCCTTGAACAGAGATTTGAGAGAGAAGGAGAGAGACAGAGACAGAGACAGAGAGACAGAGAAGAGAGAGAGAGCAGCTTAGTAAAACTTAGCAACACCTCAGTTCAGTTTCATAGTATGTTCCACACCCACAGCTGGCCATCTTGGCAAGAAATTGAGACAAGTGCATTTTCTCATCTCTGCTGGGGCCCAGCTGGTCATTATAGTTACATGGGGAAGATTAGTTTTTTAAGTATCCCACCAGAATTGAGTGGAAATTTGGGGAACTGTCAAATCATCTTCTGAGAACTTTTTTTTTTTTTTGGTAAAAAAAAATCAAATGTCACAAACTCCCTCCCTTGTCAAGTGCTTTCCTGCGCACTTGTTTCTAGTGACTTATAAAAATACACAGAATGGGTTCAGAAACAAGTTGTCAGTATGCTGCAGATGTGTGGTTGTCCTCTTCTGCTGTGTTTTGACGGCAGCCCAAGTATAACCTTTGCTTTGAACTGGAGGGGAGAAAGGGGAAACTTGAACAAACATCCTGTTGTTATGAGAATTTACTGGGTTTGCTCTGTGCCTGGAGGTGACCTTAGACTTATCCTACTTGCTGAAAGTCCTCATGTGGTTTCATTTGGGAATAATTTTGCCTTTTAGCTCTTGAGAGTACGGTTTTTCAATGAGAAAAATACATTTTAGTCAAGGACCCTCTGACTCCTATCTGTATGTAATTGATTTCCAGCCTACTTTCTGCTATGTTGATTTCCTCCTACTTGTCATGAAATCACATAATTCTGCTTCATAATTTAAAAAAAAAGAGTGGGTTTTAGATGTCCAGATGCACATGTAGAAAAGGCCTTTGGGTCCTCCTGGGGTTTTAGTCCTTGTGGCACATAAGCAGGTAGGATTCCTGTTCACCGGGGCCTTTGCTTACAGCTGCTGATGATGCAGAGTGAGAGGACAGCCCTGCAAGATCAGCTTTCTGACTACGAGGAGAGAATCAGCGCCATGAAGTGTCATTTAAAAAATGTCAATCAGGAGTTTATGTTCACCCAGGTAAGCAGGAGGGAGGGGCTGCTGGAGCAGAGAGCTCCCACTGCTGAGCCCTGCCTGCTGTCCATCCACCCTCAAGACGAAGGGCGAAGCCTCCATGGTCCTAGGAGGTTTTGTGAGCTCCAGTGGGGCTCTTGAGCCTCATTTTTACTGGGACACTCCCAGGATCCTTTTCTTCTCCGGCAGACCATCTGCCTGCACTGATAGACCCCGGGATCACTGGGGTGGCACTGGAAGTGGCCTTCAAGGTTGTCTGGTCCAAACTTCTCATTTCATAATGAAGAATTGAAGTCCAGATTGGGGCAGTGAGTTGCCCGAGCTTCTACAGGTAGTAAGTAGCAGAGGCGAGATTTGAACCCAGGTCCTTGGGCTCCAAGTCAAGGGTGTTTTTCACTGTTCTGTGCTACCAAAGGAGAAGCAGTGCATTCTGGTGCCTCCAGTTCCTCCCACTCCCAAGTCCTCCCTCTTTCCCTGTGCTTGTTATTACAACAGATCAACCAGGAGGGAAGGAGGCAGTGTGAGAGCAAATAGCAGTGATACATTTGGGTTTAGAAAGTTCTGGGTTCAAATCCTGCCTCAGACACTTCCTGGCTCTGGTGACCCTGGGCAAGTCACTTATCATTTGTTTTTCACATGACCTTCATTTCCCAATATAGGGTTTCCCCTCTTTTTCCGGTAGAAGCAGAACCAGGTCTCCTGAATCAGCCCAGGGTTTGTGGGGTAAGTGTGGTGGTGGGGGAATATCTCTAGGAAAGAATCTTCCTTAGCCCAGTGCCCAGAGGCACCAGGGTAATGACAAAAGGTAAGAAAACAGGTTTTAGGCAAGAATCACCAAGAAACCTGAAAGCCTTATCAAGCCAGTGTCACAAAAACTGGGTTTAGTGTCCAAGGCCCTTGGGGGAAGCTCTGGTATCCCAGAGAGATCTGAGCTGTTGCTACAGACTGGCATTTAAAGGGGTAGGCTTGGAGAGAGTGTAATGGACCTGTTAGTCAGGTCCACTGGTTATGAGCCCATGAGTCTCTGACCCAGAATTCGAGAAGATGCCATCTTTGGCCTGGTCCTCTTTCTCCAGGCGATTGTGTGTGGTCAGAACCCTTTTAAACTTGGTTTTGTGGAAGAATCTTCTAGAATTGGATTGGGAGAAATACGGAGGAGGAAAATTTTATTTTAAATCTGTCAGATATGACTTGTGAATTTCAAGGTCTGATTTTTAAGGTTAGCTGTTTTGGCTTGCTCTTGACCAGTGTTTTTTGGTCTAGAGCAGTGATTTCATTAACATGGGGAACTTGTGTTGAGGAACCTCCTTAGTCCAATGCTGATTGTCACCTAGTTTGCAGAGTAGAGGCTGAGGGAGTTTCATGGGGTACTGAGAAGGTGAGTGACTTGTGAACTTCTTGACCCTCAGGCTGCCCCCCTGTGGACACGCTGCTTCTTGACCAACATTAACAGCAGGAAATTCTTGTAATTGATATTTTCTCTTGGTTTTGCTTCAGAGGTAAAACATTCCAAGACCATATACCTGATTGCATAGTGCTCAAATGATCCCATAATGACGAAGTCTGACTGGGCACAGACTTGAGAGGGATGAGAAATTGGTCAGCAATACTTAGGCATTTCTTCTGAGGTCTATCAGTTATCTTTGTGGGGGAGTATATCACAGATCATTTTATTTAGTATTAAAATTGAATGTTTTCTCTCTCCTGTAAATATTATTCCACAGTCTCTTTACAGAGCCAGAAAAAATGAGATTAACACAGAAAAACACTTAAAGGCTATTGCTTTGAGAGAAATGGGACGAGTGGGCAATGAGATTCACCGAATGGAAAAAGAAATGGCTACAGTCAGAGAAAGGAAAGCTGAAAAGGAAGTATGTGGTCTAATTTTATTTAACATTTTATGCTATTGAGAATTTTCTGGTAAGATCTTTTCCCTAATCTTTGTAAACAAAATGTACCAAACTCATTTTCCCAGTGGAAGGAGAAGAGCTGTTAGGTTGTTTTTTGTTTTTTGTTTTTTTGTATTTGTGAGGTTTTTTTTTTGTGGGCAGCAAAGACATGACGAAACTGTTCCCCAAAACTTATACAAATCAGTATAGAAGATTATCTATCTCTCTGTCTACCTATCTATCTATCTATCTATCTATCTATCTATCTATCTATCATCTATCTATCTATCTATATCTATATCTATATACTGCAGGGAAGCAGGAACCTTGTTCTCATTCTCTCTGTCTCTGTCTGTCTTTGTGTGTGTGTATGTGTTTCCTCCCTCTTCTCTCTTTTTCCCTCTCTTCCTCCACACTTTCTCCCTCTCTCCTTCCCTCCCTCCACTCTCCTTCCTATTGAACTTTTAAAGAATCCTTTTTTAAAAAATAAGTTTTTATTGACATTACCTGTTTCTTCCTCTTCTCAGAAAGCCATCCCATATAATAAATAGTATTTTTAGAGAGGAAAAAAAGTTCAGCACATCTGATCAATACATTGAAAAAGTCCTAAAATATGTACAATGTTGTAACATGTGGGAATCTCTCAACTTAGTGAAGGGATGAGTTGGGGGGTGTCTTCTCAGAGCTCTTCGTTCAAGTCCCCCTTGATCCTTATAATTTTGTTACATTTACTTTTGATTTGTTGGTGTGGTCTTTCCATTTACATTGTTGCAGTCATTGGGTATGTTATTTTCTTGGCTCTGCTCACTCCACTGTGCATCAGTTCATATGGATCTTTCCAGGCTTCTCTGTATTCATCGCATGTATCAGTTCTTATAGAACAGGAGTATTCCATTACATGCAGGAACCAAAACTTGTTTAGCTGTTCCCCAACTGAGGGGCATCTGTTTTGTTTTGAATTCTTAGTTATCACAAAAAAAGTGATGCTATAAATATTTTGGAGTATTTAGGAACTTTTAGCTTATTGATAGCTTCTTTAGGGTACAGGCCTTATTATAGTGGATTCTCTCTTGTTCAAAGGGTAGAGACAGTTTAGTCACTTGATTTTCATAATTCCAAATTGTTTTCCAAAATGGGTGTATCATTTCACAGCTGCACCAACAAAGTATTAGTGTCCCTCTCCTTTCCCAACCCCTCCAAGTTTGAATGTTGCCATTTTTGCCCATTTACGGGGTATTACGTGAAACCTCTGATGCACCTTTCTCTTATTATTAGTGACTTGGACCTTTTTTCATGTGGTTATGAATTCTTTGCAGTTTGTTTTGAGAACTGTTCATATCCTTTGACCATTTGGAATGATTATTAGTCATATATATTTATTAACTGTTTATATATCTTAAACACCAACCTTTTATCATAGAAATTTGATAGAAAAATGTTTTTCCATTAATTTTTGTTTGTGTATAAGCTTTTCAGTCTCATGTAATCAAAACTATCTTTTATTTTTTATAATTGCTTCTATGGCTTGTTTGGTTAAGAATATATCTCCTGTGATTAGCTGTGAAAGCTATATGATCTGTCTCTTCTAATTTTTTATAATACCATTTTAATATTAAGTATTAATATTAAAATTTTATATAATTTAATGTTAAGTATTAACATTAAAAATTTGTATAATTTAATATTGAGTGTTAATATTAAAATATTAAGTATTAATATTAATTTAATGTTAAGATCATGAATCTATTTAGATAAGCCAGCTAGGTGGCACAGCTAGTAGGCACAGGTGTAGGGTCTGACATTAGGAAGACTCATCTTCCTGAGTTCAAATCTGACCTTAGATATTTACTAGCTGTGTGACCCTGAGCAAGTCACTTAATTCTCTTTGCCTCAGTTTCCTCATTTATAAATGAATGGAAGAAAAAAAATGGCAAGCCACTGTAGTGTCTTTGCCAAGAAAATCCCAGATGGGGTCACGGGGAGTCTGATGCCACTGAAATGATGGACAACAACAAACAACGTCCATTTAGAATATCCTGTGGATTGCGATATAAGTTGTTGGTCTGAGCCGAATGTCTGCCAGATTGCTTTCCAGTTTTCTCAGAGGTTTTTATCAAATTGAGCCTTTTTCCCTGTGTAACTTATGTTTTCCACTTTCTCAAATGCTGGGTTTTTGAGTTATATTGCTTCTGAAGCTCACTGGTCTGTTGTTTAACCAACAGCAGATGGGGTTGGTGACTGCTGCTTTGTAATGGAGTTTGAAGTCTGGGTCTTCTCTTTCACATTATTCTCCCCATCGTGGGGCCTGGTGCTTTGTGCGTGAATACTCAGTTCCTTCCAGTATGCTCTATCTGACGCAGGTTTGCGGCTGATTTATGCTCTGTCTGTCTGGGAGCCACCAATGAATGGCTTTGTTCCCCTCAGGTTGGTGTCCTGTACCAGGGGCCCGCCGTGGCTTGGGCACGGTGCTGGGCTGTGCCAGCAAGAGGGCAAGGCCTGGTGGATCCTCATGGGGACAGGTGACAGGTCTGATAAGCAGCCCAGATTAGTCTGAGGAACTTAGCAGGGAGCTGGCCATCTTCTGTGGCCTGGAGGCTGATGACTGTGGCCAGTGGAGGGAGCGCCCACAACAGTAACATCACATTTTGGAGGATCACACTAATAAGTGATATCTATAGGTTTTGTATATGCATGCATGTACATGCACATATGTATGCATGCAGTCTATATGTAATATATTTGTATTTTGTATACATGTATAGATAATGCATGTATATGTCATAAATTATATAGATATGTAACAAAATATATAAATTACATAGATATCTATATAAATATCTAATAATAGATTTAAATACATGTGTATATACATATATACAGCTAAATAGAGATATTTTGGGAGCTTCTTCATTCAGTTTCTATGTATAATTAACATATTTCATTTTTCTTTTGTGGAAATTAGAATATCATATTCAAAACCTCTCAAAAACTGGAGTGTCTGAGGTGTCAGATGAACTGGGATCAGCAGGCTCTGGAGGCTTGGTTAGAGGAGTCGGCTCACAGAGACAGCGATGCGTTTGCCCTCCAAAAGTACACACAACAAGACGAGAGCAAAATCCGGGTAAGTACGAAAAGGCATTTTGATGCCATTTAAATGTTTCCTCTCTACTCGTAGTTAGAAAATGAGAACCTATTTAATCAGTTTTTAGATAAAGCCAATAAGAAACATTCAGGAAAACAGGAAATTTTGTGTTTGGGACATTTACAGATGTTAACAGTGTTTGTCTACAATTAGTTTAAATATAACATCCTTGTTTTGAAATCACAACTGCCACCAGTTTTTCAGATATTACCAATCTTACTATTTTAAAATTTTAAGTGAATTAGTACTGTCCAAGCTAGCCTAATTATATAGCTGGGCTAATTGAAAATATAATAAAATGGCCCAAAGAGGCTGCTATGATAATAGTTTTTTAAAAGATCTCCAGAATGGAAGTTAACATCATTGGAAATCAAGGGCACAGTAGTGGAACCAACCAAAAAAACCCTTCTGTGGATAATTCCCTTTATTTAATTATCATGACTAGGCTTGTTTTCCAAGGTCCAGCTTACATACCTAAGTACACAGCAACTCATCTCCAGTAGGTTGGCTGTTTGAGACTGAATTCTTTGGCCATAACAATCCATGAAATAAGAAAAAATCCAAAATGGCCTCAGTCCTGTGACTCTGGCCACTCCCTTTGGTAGTGATGGAGGTGGGAAAGCAGGCCGAGAACACTAAGAGTGTATAACTAAAGCTGTCCTTGGAGAAGCAAATGGAGAAGTCACTTGGGTTGGTTTTATGATGTGAAGAAAGGCAACAAGAAATGTAATTTTATGAAATAATTGGTTGTCTTGTTTTGCAGTGATTATGGAAAATAATCACAGTATGACCATCATGAAAGTAAGTGCAGTTTCTGTACCAGCATAAGCACCCTGGGCCATTTAACAGTTTGATCAATGACTTGGACAAGGACATTGGTGGCATTCTTTACCAAATTTGTAGATAACATATCACTAGGAAGGATAGCTTACACACTGAGGGATAGAGTGAGGTTCCAAAAAATCTGGAAAGTTAGAATTTGGAGTCAAATCTAATAAGATGAATGAGATGTCCTATGCTTGGGTTTCAGATATTGGGTTCACAGGTATAGGATAGGACAGGTGTGGCGAGACAGTAGTTAGTCTGAAAAAGATGGGGACTTTAGTGGATTTCAAGTTTAGTATGAGTCAGGAGGGTGATATGGCAGCCCCAAAGTTAATGCAACCTTGGGCTGCATTAAGAGAGGAGAGGCATCACTTCTGAGATTGAAGAGGTGATAGACCTGCTGTTATGTGCCATGGTCAGATAACAGTGGAATTACTGTGTTCATTATTTGGCCCCAGATTATGGAAAGGACATTGATAAGCCAGAGAGTGTCCAAGGAGGTAACTGTGATGGGGACAGCCTTGAATTCATGACATATGAGTTGCAGAAACTGGGGTTGTTTAGCCTTGGGGGATGATAGCAGTCTTTGGATACTTGAATATCTGCCATGTGGAAGAGGGACTAGAATTTTCTGCTTGACACCAGAAGGCAGAACTACAAACAATGTGTAGAAATTGCCAAGAGATGATTTTAGTCTTAATGTCTAGAAAAACTTCCTAACAATCAGAATGATCTGAGGATGGAATGGGCTGCCTTGAGACATAGTTGATACTCCTTCTTTGGTGGTCTTGGAGCAAAGGCCAACCATTTGTTGGGTATCTCAGGATTTGTTGTTCGTTGTTCAGTCATTTCATTCCTGTCCCACTCTTTGTGACCCCATTTGGAGTTTTCTTGGTGGAGATACTGGAGTGGTTTGCAATTTCCTTCTCCAGCTCATTTTACAGATGAGGAAAGTGAGGCAAACAGGGTCAAGTGACTTGCCCAGAGTCACATAGCTAGTAAGTGTCCATGGCCAGCTTTGAACGCAGGAAGATGAGTCTTCCTGCCTTCTGGCCTACCGTTCTATCTGCTATGCCACCTAGCTGCCCTCAAAAAAATTTTTTTTTTAGAGTGTAAATTGAACTATATGGTTGCTGAGGTACTTCTATCCAGAAATTCTGTGATTCTGGGAATGACCATTGCAGAATATTGGGTAGAGAAATTCTATGATGAGGTTGATAAGACCATCCATATTAAGACAGTCTATACTCTGATACTTGGGGACTTCAATGCAAAGGTAGACATAGGGGAAAATGGTGAAAGTATGGAAGAAAATCTGGTTCATGAATAAGAAATATGGGAGTCCAAGGCCTCTTAGACCAGAGAAAGCTCCCACCTATAGATCATGAATGCAAAGAATGAGAAGATCTAGCCCATGGTGAGCACAAAACAATATAACCAAAAATGAAACGGATTTTAACGGAGAAAAAATGAATTATCACTGACGCAGAAATCATTTCCTTGAGTCAGCATTCTGTGAAGAGTCAGGCTGATCCTTAGTTTAGTCATTTAGAGAAAACATACTTACAGTGAGAATATCCACCCATCTTTTAGTTTTCTGTGTTGTGAATAAATGCCATAGATGATAACTTCATGGGACCCAGGATCTGACAGCTTTTAGGCAGGATTAACCATTTATGTTTGTGTGTGCAGGCACTAATTCTTCAAATCGAGAGGCTGACGGTAGAGTGCAATGAGAAACGAAGAGCTTTGGACAACGAGCTCACCGAGACCATGTCTGCTCAGGTCAGTATGGCTTGTTGGTCCCCCATTCAAGTGCATGTCCCCTAAGAGCTCCTAGCTCTCAAGGTGGCCATGAGCATCCAATGAGAAAGTATTGGTAAAGTGCTTTGGAAACTATGGAAACTTTAAAGTGCTTAGTAAATGCTCGTTGCTACTGCTGCCCCTTCTTTTCCTCCTCCTTCTCCCTCCAATTATTCTTTCCCCTCCTTCTCTTCTTCCTCCTCTTCTTCTTCCTCCTCCTCCTCCTATTCCTCCTCTTCTTCTCTTCCTCCTCCTCTTCCTCTTCTTCTTCTTCCTCCTCCTGTTCCTCCTCTTCTCTTCCTCCTTGTCTTCCTCTTCTTCCTCTTCCTCCTATTCCTCTTCCTTCTCTTCCTCCTCCTCTTCCTCTTCTTCTTCCTCCTCCTTCTCTTATTCCTTCTTCTCTTCTTCCACTTCCTCTTCTTCCTTCTCTTCTTCTTCCTTCTCCTCTTCCTCCTTCTCTTCTTTATCTTCCTCTTCCTCTTCTTCGTCTTCCTCCTCCTCCTCTTTCTCTTCTTCTTCCTTCTCCTCCTCTTCTTCCTCCTTCTCCTGCTCTTCCTCCCTCCTCCTTTTCTTCTTCCTCTTCCTTCTCTTCTCCTTGAGGGTAGAGCCCATCTTTGCCTTTCTTTGTACCCCCACTGCTTAGCACACAGCTATCACTTAATAAATGCCTGTTGACTTGACTCATTATTGACTTGTTATGCTGTTTGTTCTACCATTGTGCAGATTGAGCTGGATAAAGCAGCACAAGATTTTCGAAGGGTTCACGCTGAAAGGCAAGAACTCATCAAACAGTGGGAAGGTACCATAGAACAGATGCAAAAAAGGGATAAAGACATCGATGTTTGTGCTTTGGTAAACCACTTGCATATTCGTTAGCTTTTATTAATCTCTTTTGTATCTGACTCATTTACTTCAAACTGTAAAAAATTATTTTAAAGATTACCTTTTAGAGGATTCAGTTCTTTCGGTCAGTTTAGTTCAATTCAGTGAATTTATAAAGTCTGGCCTTTGTGCCAGCTACCGTGTGAGATTCAGGCACATAAAGGGAAAAATGAAATAGTCCTTACCCTCAGGAGGAAGACAATACATCTCAGAGAGTTGAGCTTCAGGGCTAATAGAAAGGCCTAGAAATCCCAAGGGCTCAATGGTAGGGGAGGATGGTGAAGTCTAGGGGTCCTTAGACTGCCTTGCCAGGTTACAGGGCACTGCTGGGTGTCTGGAGGGTGTAGGGACAGGACACCTGGTAAGGTTTAATGCTCCCTCGTCTTCCTGGAGGGGTGAGAGTGGGTGACTCCCCAGCTCTTCAAAGCAGTATGAGCAGTCACTTTGCCCTTCCTATGGTTGCCCAGGGAAAGGGGGAAGGCACCCTTGCTAGTGGCTAATGCAAGAAGACAAGTTGGCTGGGCATTGTGCTAAGTGCTGGGGAGGCAAAGACAAGCGTGAAACCCGCCCATCTTCTAGGAACTGACTTTGTAACAGAGGAGACAACATGTGTATCAATAAGTGTACACAGAATATGTACAAAATAAATGAAATGTAGGAGGGAGGGCCCCAGCAGCTGAGGGGTGGGGAGGAGGTGAATCAGGAAAGGCTTCATGGTCATTGTGGCAGCGGAGCAGAGTTTGTAGGAAGCCGTGAATTCAAGAGGTGATGCTAAAGAGGGAGGGCATTCTAAGCATGAGGGACGAGTGCAAAAGCATGGTGGTGAGAGAAGAAGCGTTAGTATATGAGGAATAGCAAGTAGGCCAGTATATCTGGATGGAGGATTAATGTGTAAGAGGGCTAGAGAGATAGGAAAGGGCCAGATTGTGAAGAGCCTTAAATGACCAGCAGAGGAATGTGTATTTATTTTATCCTTGAGGGAGCTCCTGAAATGTATTGCCTGTGGAAAATTGCTTTGTTGGTTGGAAGATAGATGGGAAGACTTAAGGAAGGGAGATCAAACCGAAGACTTTTGCAGTAGTCTGGGTGAGAGGTGATGAGGACCTGAACTGAGGTGGTGGCTGTTAGGAGTGAAGACAAGGGGTCCTACGGGGGAAAAGTTGTCAAGATAGAAGGGATGTGGTGGCTGATGGGACACATTGGGTGATCAAGAGTGAAGAAGAAAATGACATTGAGATCTCAAGTCTGGGTGAAGGGTAGCACCCTCTGTAGTAATAGGGAATTCAGAAGAGGGGTGGGTTTTTGGGGAAAGATAACAAATTGCTTTGGACCTGTGGAGTTCACGATGTCTATGAAACATCCAGTTAGAAATTTGAAAGTTGGTGAGATGAGACTTCTGCCTGGAATATGAATCTGAAGGGATATACCTGATCAAAAAAGGAATAGGATACAGAAAAGGGAAAATAGAATTTTGTGTATTAAAATATATATATTGGTGTGAAGAAATCCAGGAGGAGCCAAGAAGGTGGTTGGGACAGCATGGTGGAGAGCACTGGGGTACGGAAACAGAAGTGATATTGTCACTGGAGTATCCAACAGACCTCCCAGAAAGAGGAGTAAGTGACTTTAGGAAACAGGTCACCAGCCTAGCACCCAAGACACAGTGCAGTACTGATAATTATCTAGACATGTGCTCTCACTTTCTCAGCCCAAAGCAGAAAAGCTAATTGTTGGTTGGTTGTTGGGGGAAATGATGAGAGCCTAGAGGCAAAGGAGCCACTTCACTTTAGAATTTGTGATAAAGAAGTAAGGAAAAGCCAAGACTAGTCTGACATCTGCCTTCAGTGAATTGAAAAAGTTATTACTAAGTGATTTTCTTTGTTGTTGTTCATTCATTTCAGTCGTGTCTGACTCTCCATAACCCTGTTTGAGGTTTTCTTGGCAAAGATACTGGCGTGGTTTGCCATTTCCTTCTCCAGCTCATTTTAGAGATGAGGAAACTGAGGCAAACAGGGTAAGTGTCTTGGCCAGGGTCACACAGCTGGTAAGTGTCTGAGGCCAAATTTGAACTCAGGAAGATGAGTCTTCCTGACTCCAGGCCTTGCACTCTATCCACTGTGCTGCTTAGCTTCCCAAAAGAGTGGAAACATACTTGGTATAATTGTTATTCAGCTGTTCAGTCATATCAAACTCTTTGTGACCCCACGGACCATAGCACATAAGTGCTTTCCATGGGGTTTTCTTGGCAAGGTACTGGAGTGGTTTGCAATCTCCTTCTCTGGTGGATTAAGGCAGACAGGGTTAAGTGACTTGATATGAATTCAGTTCTTCCTGACTCCAGACCCAGTGCCTGATCCGCTGAGCCACCCAGGTACCTTACGTGCTTGCTATATGAAGGGCTTACTATATGCCAAACACTGTGAGGGATGGGGATGCATACACATGCTCTTTTAGATTGCAGTAGGTCTAGAAAAAGCACTAAGTTCTAAGGACTAAAATTCTAGAAAGGAAGTCACCCTGGAGGGCTATGAAGCTTGTAAAGAGCACTAATTCCTATAACGAGAAATGGATCAATAAGCAAGAACATGTTAAGTGCCTGTTAGAGAAGCACTGGTTCAAATCCTGCCTCAGACACTGACCAGCTGTGTGACCCTGGTTAAGTCACTTAACCTCTGCCTACCTCAGTTTCCTCATCTGTAAAATAGGAATAATAACAGCACCTGCCCTGGAGGGCTGTTGTGAGGATGAAATGAGATAATATGTGTAAAGTAATTAGCACAGTGCCTAGCATATAGATGCCCTATACATGCTTATTCCCTCCTCTTCCCTTCCCCCATGCCAGCCACTGTATCAGAAATTGGAGGTACAAAGACAAAAATGAAACAACCCCCATCCTTAAAGAGCTTACATTCTGGGGTAGAGACAGCAGATACATATAAGTACTTGTATGTGAAATAAAAACAAGATCGTTTTTGGCAGGAAGGTGCTGGCAGGTGGGGAGGAGGGGTGGATCAGGAAAGGCCTCAGGATGGAGGTGGGGCTTGAATGGAACTCTGAAGGAAACTGAGGGTTATGAGAGGCACAGATGAGGAGGAAGCACAGTGTAGTTGGGGAGGGGAGTACCACTTATACCAAAGCACAGAGGTGGGAGACGGAAAAAGAGAGCTCTTTAAAGAGAACAGTGTGGATGCTTGGGGACCTCATTAACCAGGGCCGTAACAGAGGATGAATGCTGAATCATAGGCTGTCATAGAGTGGACCTGAAAGAAGCGGGTCAGAAGGACCAAAGAGCAGAGCGGGGCAGCGTCAGCCAAGGACAACAGGATGGCTTTATTTGGTTTTGTTTTAGCCTCTGTGTGGGGATGGCTTCCACAAAGTTCTCCTGCGATACGTCCTCCCAGTGTGGAGGTCAGCTGGCCACCTGTGGATAGGTTCTTTGGCTGTGGCAGTGCAGGAAACAGAGAACAACCTGTAGGCCCGCAGTCCTCCGTGGCCTCTTCCACGTCTGTAGTGGTGGTGGAACAGGGGAAGAGCAGGAACCACCGAACACTGAGGGAGAAGGCAGAGTGGCTCAGCCCTTCTGATGATTCTCTTTCCTCTGCCAATAAGTGTGATCTTTAGGGGCAGCTAGGTGGTTCAGTGGACAAAGCACCGGCCCTGCAGTCCGGAGGACCTGAGTTTAAATCCAGCCTCACACACATAACACTCACTAGCTGTGTGACTCTAGCAAGTCATTTAACCCCGATTGCCTCACCTAAACAAACAAACAAACAAACAAATAAATGTGATCTTTGGACTGGAAAGGGCAGAATCAAAATGGCCCAAGATAAGTAAGGATGAGGAAGAGAGCACCCAGATGCCTTTGATGAGTGTAAGTCTTTAAATCTAGGTGAATTCCATCCCTGGTACCATAAAAGAATTGGGAGATGTTATTGCTGAGACACTATCTGTCATCTTTGAAAGATTATGGGCAACAGGATGAGTGGTATAGGACTGGAAAATGGCACATGGTGTCCAGTTTTCAAAAAAAGAGAAGAGAGTGAACTTTGTGAACTATGGCCCAGTAAAGTTTAACATGGCTTTCTGGCAGAATTCTAGATTGTATTATGAAAAGGATGGAGTATAAACCTTTTAGAAAAGGAAGCAGTGATCACCCAGAGGCAGCTCTGTAGTCTGTGAAACTAGATCATAGTAGACTCAGGTTCTGTTGTGACATGTTTATTACACTGATCAGGGGAATGATGGTTTACCTAGATTTTAGGTTTACCTAGATTTTAACAAAAAATTTGATTAAAAAAAACTCACCGTATTATTGTGGAAAAGATAGAGAGATGTAAAATTAAGTGGTTGGACACTTTCATGGGCTCAGGACTTGTTCCCTGATGAAATCCAAAGCCATCACTTGTTTGGTGGAGGCCCCAGCGGAAGTACTTTAACCGTTCTAGTTGACATTTTTACCAGTAGCATGGAGAATGGTGTAGCTGGAATCTTCCTCAAACTTGCAGATGACACAAAGCTGGGAGTGAGACTTACATGCTGAATGACGGCTACAGGGATATGGTGAATCTAATTAAATGAATTTTAATACACATGTAAAGTCTTATAATTAGAATTAAAAAATAAACTTTAAATGTTGAAGACAAAGCAGACACAGTAAATTTTTTTTGTCTGAAGAAGATTTGGGTCTTTGAACAGACCTTGAGTTCAGTTTTAATCTAGATTGTGATCTGGCATTAACATGTTTAGCTCCCATTATGAGAGACATTATGTTCCAGAGTAGAGAGGTGAGGGTTCTGCAAGACTCCTAACTGCTGAGGCCACGTGTCTGAGGAGGGACGTTGAGAAGCCGCCAGAGTGGTCAGAAGAGGGCTGGGGGAATGGCGAGTGACCTGCAGACTGTGCCAGATGAACACTGGATGCCCAAACTGGGGGCATTTGACCCAGAGGACAGAAGATTTAGGAACTCAATGGAAGACAGGCACACGGTTAACTGTTTGAAGGACTGTTGTGTGGAAGACGGTTTAGATTGGCTTCCCTTGGCCCCAGGGGCACAGAACTAGGGCAGGCAGAAATGTTAGAGATGCTGTATTTGATCTCGATGTAAGAAGATCATTTTGAGCCCTAGGGATAGTAAAACAGAGAGAGAGGACACTCATAGCTTTGGAAGTCAGGGAAGGCTTCATGGAGGTGTGATGTGAGCTCAAGTTTGAAGGTAGAGAAAGTGACTGAGAATCAGAGTGGGGAAGGAGGTGTATTCTGGGTTTGGGAGCATGGTTTGGGCAAGGCACAGATATGGGGGATGACAAAGTGAGTTTCTCTGATAGACTGTGAATTCAGCAAGAAAGCAAATAAAAATGTGATTGCTTTTTTCAGTGTTTGTTTTTGTACCCTTTACTAAAAATTATGCATTTTTTATTATGCCAGTTATTAGCAAAGGCAAAACAAGAGTTAAGAGCTAAAGAAAACATGGTTAAGGAAAAGATCCAATTCTTGGAGAGAGAGACAGAAAACAATGCAGAGTTTGAGAAGAAAATCAAGCTTGCTGATCGAAAAGCTTTGAAACTTCGCTTGAACTATCAAAATTGTGAAACAAATCGATTGCAGCTCCAGGATGAGGTACTCAGAGATGGTGTGTGTGAGCTGGGTGTGTGAGGTTTGGCCTGAAAGACAGTGAGCTAGCTGCTGATTAAAGGAGGGCTTCCTAGCTATTGATTCCTACCTTCTCACTGAAATCAAAGCATCATGATATATATGTTAGACACTTCAGCCTAGCTAGTGCCTCTGTCCAGTGCAAGGCTAGTGAATGTACCAGCCAAAGTGGCATGGGTCTCAAGAGACCAAATTGGACTTTACAGTTTGGGAGTTTCATTAATAGTTCCCTACCTATTTGCAAGTAGTTTTACACAGTGTTCTCAGAGACCGTCTGAAAACTCTGTGTAGCTTCCAGTTTTGGATAAACCTTCCACATTTTTAGTTAGAGCTTAAAAAAATTACAAAAGACTGTATTGAAAAAGCTAGAGTTGGGGATGAGAAGATCTTATAACCTGCTGACTTTTCCCCAGATCTAACTTTGGGTTTGCCTTGTATTGTATGACATATTCTAAATATTAACTGTATTATATATACTTAGCATGAAATAAAAACCAATTGAAAAGTATAATCAGAACTATTTAGAGTGAAAACTGTGCTTAAACACAAATAACAGTGGCAACTCAGTAACTCCTAAATTCTTCCATGATACTTATTCATATGTATAAAAGTACACATTGGAAATGACGATATAGTTGTAGGTCACAGATAGATTGTTTTTCTAGTTTGGGTTTTAACTTTGAATTAGTTTGTATTCAACATATTTCTTTACATTCTTCACATTTGTAATTTTTAATGAGATTAAATTACTTTGTTACATTGCTATGACATCTTTTGTTCGACTGTTACCTGTAAGGCATTGAGATTCTTCCAAATAACATATCTATAAACATTTTTTTGTAAATATTTCTTTTTTTCTTTTTAATTATTTCCTTGGGGTCTATTCACAGTAATGAATTTATGAGGTTGAAAGGTATATATTTTTGATTCATGTCTTGCTAGATTGCTCTATGTAAAGATCATACCAACTGGTACTGCAATCATGGATAAGTACATTCATTTTCTCATAGTTCCACCACTTCATTTGGCCTTATCATTTACCCTTGAAATTTTGATAGGCATGAGCTGGCACCTTACATTTCTTTGTTTATTAGTAAAATTAAACATTTTTCAAGTAATTGTTTAAAATTTGTGCTTTCTTTTTCATAATCTGTTCATATGTAACATAAACTTTTTGAGAGAGGGAGAATATTGGTGTGTGTATTAATATGAGTGGTCACAGTGATAATGGATCAAATTTTTGAACTTTTCTTCAATGCAATTATGTACAAAGGAATTTTCTATGGATAAAATAGCAAACACTGTACTTTATACCAAGTATGCCAATGATAAAAGGCCAACAGTACAGTATCTGTCAATTACAGTAGAAACTATATTGCCGTTGTGGGAGGCCTGAGGATAAACCTTAATCATGGTCGGCAGTGGAACTTCTCAGAAATGGTGGGGAATGAGAGCACCGGCCCTGAAGTCAGGAGGACCTGAGTTCAAAGGCAGCCTCAGACCAAACACTTGACACTTACTAGCTGTGTGACCCTGGGCACTTAACCCCAATTGCCTAAAAACAACAACAAAAGAAATGGTGGGGAATGTTTCCATGTATACTCTTGACTTGAAGAGTCTCTTTTACTGCCTAACCCTTAGCTGGACACTCTCAAAGCCACGGTGACTAGAACGTCGAGTGATCTGGAAGCTATTCGGAGAGAGGTGATGGGTCTGAGGAAAAGAATTCAGGAAAAAACTGACACGTAAGAAAAACTTTTTTTAAAAAATAGAATTTTGTGATGATTTCTAGAAAGTGGTATGTTTTTTGGACAGCTTCCAAATGACAGATGCCATATCATTTAAAAACTTTATAAACTTTTTTTCCCCAACCTATTATTAGTCCATAGAAAAATCATGTGGCTGAGTCCACGTCAGACAGCAGCGGTTCTCTGGTCAGAGGAAGCACCCTCGGGCTCTCCTGTGTTGGGCTCTTCTGAACAATCTGCTTCTCAGTTTTCTGCTCATACTTTTCTGAATGATGTGTTTAGGTTGAATGAAACTCGAGAACAGAGTGAGATGCTCAGCAAAAAGCTAAAAGAGGTCACGGAGAAAACTATGAGTGTGGAGGAGAAAGCTGCCAGGATCGAACAGATACTGAAAGAGGAGGAAAAAGCCGTCAAGGTAAAGTTAATTGAAGGTTTTTCCTATTTCTTTCTTTGTTTCTTCTTTATTTTTTTTAGAAGGGGGCCATAGGGGAACTAAATCATAGCATCGGATTTACAGGACTAAGGAGGACTTTGGGGGATTACTTAGCACACCCTGTTGGGCTTGGGCTAAATTGCACCCCAATGACTTCTTGTAGAGGTGGGGCGCTGCCTGGGGTTCTGGCCAAGCCCAGGAAGGCATTTCAGAGCCCTCCCAGAACCCAGCCTGGCCCTCATCTTCAGCTCGCCTGTGCATCCAGAGGGGGCCGAGTGTGTTAGCGCAAGCTTTGTACTCATCCGTGCTTGTGGTCGTGTAGTCTTTGGTGCGCTTGCCTCCCATCAGCCTCTCTCTTCCCTAGAGCTGGAACAAGGCATTTTTGAGCCTTTAGCGAGGTCAGAAAACGGCATCCTCCTGGGCTTGAAAATGGAGCTAGCTCTTTGTGTGATAGTTCTACTAGAGGCTTTGAGTCTTCACCTGCTGGGGGCGGGGGTGTGCACGAGCTGGCTCCAACCAGCTGAAGAGAGCTGAGCGTGAGCTTTTGCACCTCAAAAATCAGCAACTGGTAGAAATCAGGGCTTACTTCATTGTTCTGTTGATTGTGTAAGACTTAAGTAGTGGTGGAGAAAATGTTAATATTGCTGATTAAACTTAAATGTGTTTTTTCTGTGCATGCATTTATCTTTGTTTAGAGCCAGTTGTTAAACGTTTGCTAGCATTACCCTGACAGTAACCCATGTGACTTGACTTATCACAAACTATATACCTATATACCATGGAGAGCAGGCTCTTCTGGAATCAAGAATAGTGACAAGGAGCCTTTCCCTGACCCTCCTGGGCTTGGCGCTGTGCCCTAGCCAGCTCTCTACTCTGACTGTCCCTGGTCCTTGCTTTCTCCTACATTATTCTCTCAAGCCAACCTGGCCAGTTGTGAGCTAGATTCTCTCCTTTCCTGGTTCCTAAGAAATCCTGTTATATAGTTTTCCTGCCTAGTATCTTTTTTAAAAGAAGTTTTTATCAATTTTTTTAATATCACATTAGTTTCTCCCAGTATCCCCTTCTGTGCCCTTCCCTCCCCTTCCCAGAGAGCCATCCCATATAATAAATACTTTTTTTTAAAGACAAAGAAAAGAAAAAATGAAGATGGAAAAATCAGCATAAAAAGTCTTCTTGGTTACTGTATCACATTCATGATTCCTCTTTGGCTTGCAGTACACTAAAACCATTAGATCTTTTTCATACAAACTGCTTTCTAGCCATACTTCTTCCTCCTTATTCCTGAGAAGTTAACTTTTTTAACCCAAGTGCAAGACTTTGACATTTTACTCCGTTGAATTTAATTGTGCTAGATATAGCCCAATGCTCTAATTTGTCAAGATCTTTTTGGCTCCTGACTAAGTTATCCAGTGTTAGCCATCCTTCTTAGCTTTGGGACATCTGGAAATTTGATAAACATGCCCCATCTTAAAAAAATTATAAAATGAGGGCATTGGACTCCAAATCCCATGATCCTTTGTATTCAACATGAAGAATTTATCTCAAGGAGAACATTTTAGATAATCATCCTCCCTGAGACTGACAAGGAGCTATAGAGTTTCCCATGACCACCTTGCCAGTGTGTAGGACTGAGTCCCAGTAAGTCATTTAAAGGGCTTCCTGAAGAGTTGCCCACCTTTGGAGACTCTGAGCTGGTATAAATAAAGAATTCTAGGCTGTCATCATTTAGTGAATTAACTTAATGTTTATCCCCAGGATGTGGAATCTCATTTGAGTAGAATAAAGGAAGTGCTTTTCAAAAGTGTTGAGAAGTTGAAAATTGCCATGGATGAGGAGAAGTCTTTTGTATCCGAAATTGAGGGAACCCGCTCCTCCCTGAAAAGCCTCAACCGCCACTTATACAAACTGGATCTGGAAACCCTGAAGCAGCAGGAGATCATGTATAACCAGGTATGGGCATGACTGTAACCACTCGCAGACATCAACCGACTTAGTTTTTGTAAGGGCGGTGATTGTCCCAGTGTTCTTCACCTCAAGAAGCAGTAGTTTTGGAGCTAGGGCCCAGAAGGTCAGCACTACATTAGTGGAACAGATGCTGGAGGCAGGAGTGGAGCTTAGGACAGAATTCTAAAGGAGCCTGGTGGCCCTTGAGCTGAATTATACCTGTAAGAGGAGACAGGAGTTTCACCTTTGTCTGGTCAGAGGCTGCCAGGGCACAACTTGGATCCAGTGCTTTCGACCTCCAGTGCTGGCTCTCTGTCCATTATGCCGTGAGGCCTCCTTTGTAGTGACAGTCACTAGTAATCTCTTCCATGCTTGCATTTATTCACTGTGGGCCCCATTTTCCCTTTGTCTACCCTTGGACGCTCTTGAGAGCCACAAGCAGTCATGGATAGCTTGTGTACTTCACCTGTCTGTCCCAGAACCCTAAGCTTTAAGTGAGCTGGAAACTAAGCTTGGTACTGGAGAGAGGCAGGAAATAAGGGCTAGTCGCAGTGACTCAGCCAAGAGTAATTCCTTTTCTGCTTCAGTCAGGCTTTCTGGGTCCTTTTCACCTTGTAACCATTTAGGGATTCAGAATATATGTTTGCATTTCAGAATAATTCACATCTTCCCTGGGAAGTCCTCACTGCTAGCCCTGAAGCCAAAATTTCCCAAATTAATTCAGGCATGGAACATTTTGGGGCTTGTAATATACTGATGAAACTCATGAATACTAGTTTTTAGGCAGGTTTAGTTCTAGGGACATGGAGTACCCCTGGGATCACAGCTGGGAGCTGGGAGGGAGGATGGTAGACAATGTGGCAGATGTATAATATGAGGGGAGGTGATGATGATGATGTTGATTTGTATGTGTGTGTGTTTGCATGTGCGAATGAAGTGCCGAGTGAGGGGGAAGGTAGGTGTGAGCAGAGATAAGAGGTGGGGATCCAGCCCTCCACCGAGGGAATTGGTACTATGGGGGGATGAAGATGGGGACCTGATGTGTGTGTTCGGTCAGGGGTTCAGGAGGCTTATGTGTTGTCTTACATGCTTTTATTTTTCATTATTTTAACCAGTGAGGTGGTTTCATTGTTAAAAAAAAAAAAAGCAATATTTATGTTCTACTTAGAGTTTTTTCTTAAATTATGTTTATACCATTGGTTATTTTATTAATATCTAATACCCATCCTTTTCCTCAGCTTCTTGATCTATTATGTGTTTGATTCCTCAAGCAATGCTAGAAAAGGACCTGCCCCAGTCCCTTTATCACTCATGGCATTTGTGAGCGTCCTTCTGCTCCTTCCCTGGGCTAGTGTAGCCCTTTTTAGTGGTGTCCCTGGTGGTCTGCAGGGTCGCCCAGCCAGCTGCCTTCCCTCTTGTGGATAGCCTCTGCTGCGTGCTTTGTCATAGTGTTAGATGAGAAGACAGCCTCATCACTGAAGGCCCCCGGCCAAAGATGAAGGAACCACTTATTACAACTGCACTATAGCTAGTGTCCTTGTTAAATTACCTCCCTGAAGCCAAAACCCAGCAAGGAATGTTTACAGCTTTTTAAAAATAGTTGTAATTGTTTGCTAATTTATTTACTTCTTTATTTTTACTGTTTGAAACAGGATTTTTATATTCAGCAAATAGAGAGACGAATGTCACGGCTCCAGGGAGAACTTAATGTGGAGGAAAAGATGGTCCTTGAAACAAAACTTGTTGAACTTAGGAACACTTTTGAAGAGAAAAAAAATACGTCGGAACTGTTAGAAAACCAGATCAAGAAGCTTGATGTAATTTGATCAAAATTGCTTTTATGTTATGAAAAGTCTGTGATGAATTGTAGCAAATTACTGGTTTATTTTAATCAGCAGGTTTTTAAACTGACTTATTCATGAAACATAGTCCTAACTATGATGACTACCAAACTCTGTTACAACTGATACAGTTGGTTATTAGCTTTGTTATGATTCTTTTTTGTGGCTGAAAGAATACGCAAAATATTAGTTTCTAATGCATACACACATATATTAGAGTATATGTGTGTGTACATGCATCCATACGAATGGGTGTGTGTATCTATATATGTGTGTATATATACTTACTAGTTATATGTAGTTAATAGCTTAATAGTTATTAGAATTAAAAGATGCATTAATTCTCAACTAAGACTTTTGAGTTCCATACCCCTGCTTATATGTGCAAAACATTCTGTATTGTGAAAATATTTGTGCTGTATTACTATGTTGTTACTCTCAAGCTGTGCTGTGTACTAGTAAACTACCTGCTTTTTGGGCTCAGGGATGGTTGGGGTCGAGTACAATTCAAGGAGAAGGATGTGCAGACAGAGGGTGTGTGTGTGTGGGGGGGGTGTGTGTGTGTGTGTGTGTGTGGGGATGTGTGTGTGTGTGTGTGTGTGTGTGTGTGTGTGTGTGTGTGTGTGTGGGTGTGTGTGTGTGGGTGTGTGTGCGTGTGTTTAAGTTGATAGATTTTAGGAACCAGAGGCCTTTGGTAGTTCAGGTTTGTCTGTTTGCTGCAAGCTGGTATCTGGGAAACCTGGCTGTGTTGAGAGAGTTCTAGGTTGAGTCCAGGGTACTGGGTTTAAGGCCCAGCTCTGCCACTATTTATGACCTGTGCGACGTGTTAGCAAGTCAACTCGACCTCTTGGGGACTCAGTTTTCTCATTTGTAAAATTGGGATCGTAATACTTGTACTACCTGGTACCTCATACACTGGGTTATGAGGACGAAATGTGACAGCTGATTGCATTGGGCCAAATATAGACCACACTCTCAAATGAGATCTCTTTAAAATGGAAAAAAAAAGTTGTATACCATGTATACCATGAAAAAAATTACCCAAAATTTTTACATAAAATACTGTATATGAAAGAAGCACTTTGAAACCTTACATAAAGGTGAGGTATTATCAATATTTGTCTTAAATGGTTATGTCTTTAAATAGATGTTGTTATTAAAAAGTACATTGAATTCCCAAAAACTTAAAATTTAAACAGTATTTAGTGCTTTTTAGAATACTGGCCCGAAAGGATTTTATTAACAAGAAGGAGGAGACTTAAACATTGTTTTTGGAATGCCTTATGCTAGAAGACAGCTTTTTTAGGATAAGGCAGAGAGTGGATTCTTTCAGTTTGTCCTTCTCCTTCTTTACATCCACTGGTAGCTCTTTCTCTGGCAGGGAAACCAGAACTGCTTGGAGAGGATGGTGTCTGAGTGACTTTTAGGGGGCACAACAGGGATTAACGTGGCGAATTTGAGCTGGTTCGAGTTGCAGGATCCCCAGAACCTTCTGACCATTACTGCATAAGGCAGAATGGGGCTGTCCTTTTAAATGTTTTTGAAGATACAGTAGCTTTGAGGTGAAAAACCTTTGCCTAAATGGTTCAGAATCATTGAACATCTTCAGTGGGCGTCTTGTTGCTCAGTAACTTGAGTGACCGCCAGGAGTGGGTGAGACTGGCCCAGGCGCAGTTCTTAGACACGTGGGATTCTTGATCCTGGTTTCAACTACTCCTTCCTGGTGACCCTTCGAAGGAGCAACACTGGTTCTGACCAAGTCATTCTTGTCCCCTCTGTTTTCTTGTACATTTCCATCTGTCACTGGACTTGTTATTCTAAAACTCTTTGGCAACTAGAAATGTAGGAGAGTCTGGGAAAAAAACCCCTCAGCTTTTTAAGAAAGGTCTTGAGTTAACCTAAAATTAAGTTATTTCCTCACTAGTAAATTTCTTCTCCTTAAGTAGTAGCTAATATTTTATTAGAAATATTCAGTGACACATTTACATTTGCCATCTTTCTAGAAATTCATGTCTTAGAAGTAGAAAATCATCCCTGTTTCTGAACTAGAGGGGGAAAAAACTTAGCCTGAAGTCTGTGAATATGTTTTTAAAAAATATTTTGATAACTGTGTTTCAATATAATTTTTTTTTGGTAACCCTATATATTTTATTTTATGCATTTAAACAATCTAAGAATGGGCAAGTAGGTTTCATCAGGCTGCCAAAGGGTTCCATGACCCAAAGAAGGTCAAGAACTCCATGTAGTAGAGATACACCTAGAATCAGACCCATGTGGAGAAAAGTCATGTCATGCTATAGTCTTTGGTGCTGCTGCTAGGAAAAGGAAAGACACAGACAGACACAGAGAATTAGCCCTGAAAGAGAAGGAACAGATTACCAATAGAGGAGATGCAGGGGATAAGCTCAGAGTTAAAAACTAACAATACTGTAGAGCTTTTCATGAAGCTAGGACCTTCTGTATGTTAGAAAAGGCTCATTTCCTAGTATTTTTTTCCTCACCAGTAATAGGATCAGTGTGTATGTTAATAACTTAAAGGCCAGACCGCTAAAATCTGCAACAGGCACAGTTTGAAGCAAACTACTCAGAAAACCAACAGTTGGAATAAATTACACATATTTTCTGTATCATTAAATGAACCCAAGCATTATTTTGAATAAACTGTTTCCATTCCATCTGGCCCCCCAGCCTTTTTCAGGAGGAGGAAGTTTTTTCTTTTAATTTTAAATCAATTAAACCCTTTAAGAAATGAAACTAGATATTCAACAATAACAACAAACATTTGAACTGGATCCTGACTGGAATGTCTGTGTTCTCTGAGTTGAATGATATCTCATTTAGCTCAAGAATTGGTTGGCAGTTTTACAGATAAGAGTTCTGATATGTTGAGGACTATCAAGGGGTTCCCTGAACTTGTCTTTTTGAGTTGGCATATTTTCCAGAAACACCGGACCCAGAGCATGCAGGAGGCCCTGTGAGCTGACATGTTATGCTTGCATCCCAAGCTGGCCTCCTTGTGTGTCCTTGGGAATTAAGACAGGTGCCAGACAACTTGCACTAGGTTTGGGCAGTTGGGACCTGTAGATAATGAAACCCTTCTATCTGTCTTCATAGTCTGGCAGTTCCCAAGGAAAAGGAATATGGCTTCTGCCATCGCCTTGCTCCTCGCCTTCAGAAGAGCTCTGGTCCTTTTCCTGCCTTTGCTGCACCTTTCCCCCTCCCATGCCATGTCTCTTCCTGGTATCTCCTCCTTCCTTTGTTCTGTTGTCCTAAAAATGCAAACTTCCAGATGGATCGTGAACTCTTTGGGTTCCCCATACATGTTCTTTTTTCTTGTAATAAACCTAGTTTTTGCATAAGTTTCGTGAAGTTGTGATGGCCTGTTGACAGATCAAAGACTTCCGACATTCTAAGGGATTGATCTTAGCCATTGGTTGGTCAATTTCTCCCAGTTAACTGCTGAGGAGACCAAGGTTGAGATAAGTTAAATTACTTCTGTATCGTCATGGAACTAGGAGGGTAATCATTTGTTCACCTGAGGAGAGAGGTAGCAGTCATCTTTCTCTTTGGAAAAGTAAGGGGAAACCATGTTTTCAATAAAGACAGCCAACTGATAGAATTGGGAAAATTATGTTAGAAACATATATTATGTATAAGATCAATTGTTTTTGCCATGATAAGGAAGTCATTGGAATCTCTTTTTCTTTTCCCTTATTAGAATGACCTCTATTTTCTCAAGAAGTCAGTATATAAAACTGGTGAAGAAAAAAATGGTCTCTTGAACAAAATAAGTGAACTCAATCTTTTCACTGACCGATCAGAAAAAGAATTGAAGAAAGCCGAAAACCTGAAACAGGTAATGACCCAAGGGCTACATTAAAACACATAAAGAAGTTTTTGGCTATTTAACATGTACCTTTCAAAGCTGTCTTGCTTGTCCATGTTTCTTCTTGAACTTCTTTTATTTTCTTCTCTGCATTTTTCTGCTCATTTTTATTAATCATTTCTTGTAAGTAGAAGTTCCTATGAATAGTTTGTTAGATTAACCAAATAGTACTCGTACAATACTTTCTACAGTCTGCTTTAGGAACATTGTTTTCCTACTGCTATGTTTTAGGAAAGCCATATGTGTGTATATACATATACATACATACATACATATATATATATATATATATATATTTATGTATACACACACATATATCATTGTGGTATTAACATTTATACATATATGCATATATAGCTCATTGTGGTATTAACATTTATACACATATATATATAGATATAGATATATCTATATCTATATATCTATCTCATTGTGGTATTAACATTTCCTTGAGAATATCATCCCTTGTTCCGCTTTGCTGAGTAAGACAAAGAGACAAAAATGTCTTTGAAGGCTTGCATTTTCAGTGGCTAATAATCTGTCTCTTTGGCTAGGAATTGTTGATCGAAGACAATCTTCAGAAGCTAGAAATGAAACGTCTCCGAGAACTGCTTCACTCTAAAGCAGATGAAGTCCTTTCCCTGGAGAAACGAAAGCAGCAATTGTATACTGCGATGGAAGAGCGGACTGAAGAAATCAAAGTTCACAAGGCGATGCTTTTATCTCAGATCAGATATGTTGACCAGGAACGGCAGAGCATCAGGTAGTCAGTCATGTTCCTGTGTGGTGGGTCTGCTTGTAGATATCAATGTCAACAGAAAATATCTCCCATTGGAAATTACTTTTAGTTGCTTCTAAAATGTTGACGTGTCCCTATTGCTGGGACTTAAAGGGGGTTTTGTAGAAGAACTAGATTGACCATTCAGTGCTGGAAGGAATAAATCTACTGGGCATATTTAAGGTAAGGCTTTGTGGCCCAGTGAGACACCCCGGCCTAAGAGGGGCCTTAAGGGAAGGGCATGAGGGAAGCCAGCACCCTGTCTCCTCCCCAGCTGCAGCTTCAGGTGGTGCCTTCAGTCAGGCAGCAAACATTTATTAATAATCACTGTGTGTCAGGCACTGTGCTAAGTGCTGGAGAAACACAGAAAAAGGGAAAGTGATCCCTACCCTCGAGAGGCACACACTTTAAAATAAAATCAGTTTTTTGATGTCCTCCATTTTTTACACCAGCATATCCTTCCCTCCCTCTCCTAGAGAGCCATTCCATATGACAAATAGTATATTAGATTTAAAGAAAAAGAGGGAAAAAACCAACACAACCAATGAATACAGTGAAAAAATCTGAAAACATGTGCAATGAGCAGCACCTGTGGACCTCTTACCTCCCCCCAAGGGTGGGTTGGGGGTGCCCTGTCATTTCTTTTCCTTGGAGTTTTGCTTGGTCTTTATAATTTTGCTACGTTGACTTTCCATGCATGCGTGTGTGTGTGTGTGTGTGTGTGTGTGTGTGTGTGGCGGCTCTGTCCATTTTCAGTGTCATAACCATTGTGGTATTTTCTCTGCTTGGCTCACTTCACTGCATTACTTCATATAGATATTTCCAAGCTTCTCTGTATTCATCGCATTTATTTATTTTTAAAAATATTTTATTTGTTTCATTAATATTTCCCAATTACATGTAAACATTTTTTAACATTATTTTAAAAAAAATTTTGTGTTCCAAATTCTCTCCTCCCTCCTACCCCTCCCCACCACGTTTTATCACTTTCTGTAGTGTGTAATAGTTTATTCCAGTAATGGGCCACAATTCGTTTAGCCATGGGCATTCTGATTCTGTGCTGTCACAGCAAGTGCTGTTGTCATTATTTTGCTATATAAGGGGGTTTATTCTAATCTATGGCCTCCTTGGGGTGTAAGCACAGTAATGGACTCTCCTAGGTCGAAAGATAGGAACATTTTATTGGAATATTACTGTGCTATAAGAAATGATGAATGTGATAAATATAGAGAAATCTAGACATAATTATATGAACTGATGCAGCGAAGTCAGCAAAGCTGAGAAAACAACAGACATAATGACTACAATGGAAATGGAAATTTATTTGCAAGAGGAGCCAACATGTTAATAGAGACAACATGTGCATAGAAAGTTATATAGAAGGTGCACATAAAGTCCATACAAGTAACTTTAGACAGGAAGGCACTAGCAGCATGGGGGTGTGCAGAGGATGGGGAGAGTGGTCTGACAAGGCCTTGTATGGAAGGTAGACTTCAGCTCAATCTTGAAGGAAGTCAGGAGTTCGTAGAGGCCAACATGAGGTTGGGGGCATGGTGTCTCTGTGTGTGTGTGTGTGTGTGTGTGTGTGTGTGTGTGTGTGTGTGTGTGTGTGACATTCCAGGCATAGGGGCAGGCAGCTTGTAAAAAGCTTTAAATATCAAACATATGAGTTCATCTTTTTAGCCTCAAGGAGTCATTGGAGTTTATTGTGTAGAGGAGTGACATAGACAGGCCCGTGTTTTAGGAAAACCACTGGTGGCTGACAGAAGGGTGGACTGGAGTTGGGAGAGGCCTGAGGCAAGTCTGTAATTGGGAACCAATGGTAAGAGATGGTAACTTAAGATGGCAGCAGTGTGGGTGGAGAAGACCGGTACAAGAGATATTGGGAAAGTAGAGATAAGATTTGGCCAACTGATTGGGCGTGTTGGGTGAGTGAGAGTGAAGAATTGAGATTGACACCAAATTTATGAACCTGTGTGACTAAAAGGATGATGGTGCCTTTGAGAATAGAGTGGGGCATGAATTACTTGGGACAAAGTAAGTTAATTAAATGTGTTGACTTTATACAGTAAAACTTAGACAACTTTTTGTATCTTTAACCTTTTTTTCTGGCCTGCAGTGTGTTTTCCTTTGCAGTCTCTTATTTTACATCGGCATTGCGTTCACAAGATTTTGACACAAATTCTTGAATTGTTCGTCATGAAATCACACTTTTTCTTTTTTTATTTTCTTTTTTTATTTTCTTTTATTTATTTTCTTTTATTTTCTTTTATTTTACTTTATTTTATTTTTTCCATATGCTTTTGAGTTGAAAATTTTTCTCCCTTTTCCTCCCCCCCCCCCCAAGATGGCGCACAATCTGATATAGGCTTTACATTTACATACCCATTAAACATATTTTCACATTAGTGAAGTTGTGAGTAAAAATTAAAACCAATAGGAGGAACCATTAGAAAGAGGAAACAAAACTCAACAGAAGGTAAAAATAAGTGATGGCGATTCGACTTCCATAGTTCTTTCTTTGGATGTGGACAGCATTTTCCATCCCGAGGCCTCTGGAGATGTCTTAGATCCTCGTAATGCTGAGAAGGGTTCAGTTTAACAATCTTAGTCATTGCATAACGTGGCTGTTATTGTGTACAAAGTCCTCTTGGTTCTGCTCACTTCACTCAGCATCAGACCATATAAGTCTTTCCAGGTTTTTCTGAAGTCAGCCTGTTCATCATTTCTTATAGCACAATAGTATTCCATTACATTCATATACCACAACTTGCTCAGCCATTCCCCAATTGATGGGCATCCTCTCAATTTCCAATTCTTTGCCACCACAAAAAGAGCTGCTATGAATATTTTTGTACATGTGGGTCCTTTTCCCATTTGTTTGATCTCTTTGGGATATAGCCCTAGAAGTGCTATTGCTGGATCAAAGGGTATGCACATTTTTGTAGCCCTTTGGGCATAGTTCCAAATTGTTCTCCAAAATGGTTGGATCATTTCACAACTCCACCAACAATGTATTAGCGTTCCAATTTTCCCACATCTTCTCCAACATTTATCATTTTCCTGTTTTGTCATGTTGGCCAATCTGATAGGTGTGATGTGGTACCTCAGAGTTGTTTTGATTTGCATTTCTCTAATCAATAGAGATTTAGAGCATTTTTTCATATGACTATAGATGGCTTTAATTTCTTCATCTGAGAACTGTCTGTTCATATCCTTTGACCATTTATCAATTGGGGAATGGCTTGTGTTCTTATAAATTTGTCTTAATTCTCTATATATTTTAGAAATGAGGCCTTTATCAGAGAGACTGGTTGTAAAAATTCTTTCCCAATTTTCTACCTTCCTTCTAATCTTAGTTGCATTGGCTTTGTTTGTGCAAAAACTTTTCAATTTAATGTAATCAAAATTATCCATTTTGCTTTTCATAATGTTCTCTATCTCCTGTTTGGTCATGAATTCTTCTGTTCTCCATAGATCTGATAGGTAAACTATTCCTTGTTCTCCCAGTTTACTTATGGTATCAGCCTTTATATCTAAGTCATGAACCCATTTTGACTTTATTTTGGTATATGGTGTGAGATTTGGGTCTATGCCTAGTTTCTGCCATACTCTTTTCCAGTTTTCCCAGCAGTTTTTTTCAAAGAGTGGGTTCTTATCCCAGAAGCTGGGGTCTTTGGGTTTATCAAATAATAGATTACTATAGTCATTGACTACTGTGTCTTGCATATTTAACCTATTCCACTGATCCACCTCCCTATTTCTTAGCCAGTACCAAGCAGTTTTGATGATTGCTGCTTTATAATACAATTTAAGATCTGGAATTGCTAGGCCACCTTCCCCTGCATTTCTTTTCATTAGTTCCTTTGATATTCTGGACCTTTTGTTTTTCCAAATGAATCTTGTTATTATTTTTTCTAACTCTATAAAATAATTTTTTGGTAGTTTGATTGGTATGGCACTGAATAAGTAAATTAGCTTAGGTAGGATTGTCATTTTTATTATATTAGCTCGGCCTACCAGTGAGCAACTGATGTTTTTCCAATTATTTAGATCTGACTTTATTTGTGTGAAAAGTGTTTTGTAATTGTGTTCATAGAGTTCCTGGGTTTGTTTCGGGAGGTAGACTCCTAAATATTTTATAATGTCTACAGTAAGTTTAAATGGGATTTCTCTTTCTATCTCTTGCTGTTGGGCTTTGTTGGTAATATATAGAAATGCTGATGATTTATGTGGGTTTATTTTATAGCCTGCAACTTTGCTAAAGTTGTTTATTATTTCAAGTAGTTTTTTACTTGATTCTCTAGGATTCTCTAAGTATATCATCATGTCATCTGCAAAGAGTGATAGCTTTGTTTCTTCTTTGCCTATTCTAATGCCTTCAATTTCTTTTTCTTCTCTTATTGCTAAAGCTAAGGTTTCCAGTACAATATTGAATAACAGTGGTGATAATGGACATCCTTGTTTCACCCCCATCTTATTGGAAATGCTTCTAGCCTGTCCCCATTACATATAATGCTTGCTGAAGGTTTTAGATATGCTATTTATTATTTTAAGGAAGACTCCATTTATACCTATGCTTTCTAGTGTTTTTAATAGGAATGGGTGTTGTATTTTATCAAAAGCTTTTTCTGCATCTATTGAGATGATCATGTGGTTTCTGTTGGTTTTGTTTTGATATGCTCAATGATGCTGATAGTTTTCCTAATATTGAACCAACCCTGCATTCCTGGTATAAATCCTACCTGGTCATAGTGTATTATTCTTGTGATAAGTTGCTGCAATCTACTTGCTAGTATTTTGTTTAAAATTTTTGCATCTATATTCATTAGAGAAATTGGTCTATAATTTTCTTTCTCTATTTTGACTCTTCCTGGTTTAGGTATCAACACCATATTTGTATCATAAAAAGAATTTGGTAAGACTCCTTCTTCACCTATTTTCCCAAATAGTCTATATAGTATTGGAATTAATTGTTCTTTAAA